TAGTTGTACATTTATTGATACATATACCGATACACACATACCCACACACACACTTATATATATATATATATATATATATATATATATATATATGTATATATAAAATTATGTATTTGGCCAGCAATACCTCTTTTATACAAGTTTCATTAAAAATGACAGAGAAGGTACTGCAATTAAGATTTTTATTCAATTTTTCTTGCATTTGTAAAAATGATTCTTTTCTGGATACAAAGCCTGTAAAAAACTGTACAAATGTTTTATATATCTGACTGCTTTCAGTTATTCTGTTAGCCATTATCAATGGTGTTTTTTTAACTACTAACTGAATATGTAGATTTTTATACATGTATATCTGTAGTGGTGGGAATGTATTTTATTTTCCAAACACTGTCAGCATGTTGTGGCCATGTTCATAGTCAATATTATTTTATGTTGGCATTTTCTTTTTTATTATTAATGCTTCCATTATTTTTAGTGATATTTTACAAGTGGATGAGGCTATTATGGTTGTAATTTCTACAAAAATGTTGAAGATGTAGTTTGATAGATTTCTATGTGTGTTTAAATGTGTCCTAATTGAGCTATGGTCTGAGAGATGTAACATGAGCCTTCTTGATACGCATGTAGTGGTAACTGATATAATAATTCTAGTATAATTATTCATGAATATGGTTTGGTCAGGAACACAGTTCCTTGACGGGCATGTAAATTGTTATTTAAAAATTTTTTACGATGAAGTTTACTCTGTAAAAGGCCCAAGAGCCCCTCAAGGTAGATAGTAACAAATTAAGGGACACAGTTTATGGGAATATGTGGAGAAGATAACAGTTGATCCTAGACTTGAATAGGTTAAGATTGTAGCGATTGGGGAAGCAATTTCTTGTGAGTTGGTTCCACAAAGCAGTAGTTATGTAAAGAAGCTGCTCTAATGGAATACAAAGGAAGTAATGGTAGTTCTTTATAATATGCATGACATGGTCTTCATCCAGGTAATGTACAGTGAATTCCATATTAAATCTTTTATTTAATCTATAATTGACATTGATGTTTTTCATTCCATGTCTAGGGATGTATTGTCTAGTTTTTATTTTTTGCATTTCTTGCGTTGTTTCTACCGAGTCCAAACACACACTGTCCAGCACAAGGATTGAACTCACAATTACTATGCCACCATACAATCTATGATTAGATACATTAACAAAAATAGCCTTTGCAAGAAAAAATAACATTCAGAAACTGATGCTTGTTTACTCAGACAAATCCATTGTCTGAATTGTGGGCAGCAGCAATCATCCAAACTATCATCCTGAAAACTGATCATCCTACAGCTGTGGTTTTATCAAAAACACAATAAACCCTAAAAACTAATCCTTGTATACAGTTATCAATTTAAAGACTGAAAAATGGAAAATTGATGAATGACACAGGATACAAGATGGTGGTGTTAAATTTCTCAATGCCAACAAAAGAAAAAGAAACATTTTTATTGAAACTTCAGCCCACTCTCATCCTATTACAAGCACCTAACTTTGGTTGGCTATAGTCTATTTATCTTCTCATGCCAATGTTGTTTGTTTAAGAATATTAAGGAATATTTGAATTTATGACAGGAAGATGTGGATCTTGTCAACATCATATTATTGGAAAAGATTTATTTCCATACACAAAAGTGAATAAACCAGAAATGATTAATGACCTAGAGTAAAAACAAATAAAATTATTATTTATGTCATAATTATCAATATTGCTATTATTGGTAATACTCATTATTTGATATTATGTTCAATATTATCATTATTTGAGATTATGGTTAATATCAACATTTGATAATATGTTTAATATCATCAGCATTTGATATTAAGGTTAATATCATCAACATTTGATAATATGGTTAATATTATTGGCATATGATGTTATGGTTAATATCATAAACAGTTGTAATTAAGTTTAATATCAGCATTTGACATGGTTAATGTTGCCAACATTTGATATTATGGTTAATATTTACATTGTTTGGACTGTTGTTCTCATCTTCGTTGCCATATTCACAACATTTCAGACACTGCATGCTCCAGCCTTCAGGTGACTGAAAAATTTCAAACTCAACCCTTTATTTTGTCCACTGGGGTAGTGTTCAAGTTCCACATGTCTTAGTATCAGTTATCTCCCTTTAACTCAACTCTCCAAGTTTTTGTTCACCTCTGCTGTAGCCAGGTATTGAACTCACTACTCTCTGGGTCAAGTCACTGGATTTAACCACCACTTTTTATCCACTGGGCCATGTGTTCCTGGTGATTTATGAAATAAAGGGTTTAGTTTGAAATTTCAATCACCTGAAGAAGGCCAGTCGAAATGTAGTAAATATGGCAACAAAGAACAATGTAAATAGTGTAAATAATTACAATACCTCATCTAAGAAATACAGACTAATATTATTATTTGATATTATGGTTAATATAACTTGCATTTGACATAGTTAATAGTATCAGTATTTGACATTATAGTTCAAATAGTAAACATTTCTAATTCCACGTGCCATGTTTGATGGATGTCAGTTATCAGTTATCCTGCTAATTTTCCCTCTGAAAGTTCTCCACTGCCTTAACCAGGAATTGAACTCACCTTCTTTGGGTCTGTCACTGGATCTAACCAACGCCTTTATCCACTGTGCCATGTGTCCTTGAGGACATCTGGGTATGAACTTCTGAGTATTATAAACCTAATGTTTTAGGCCAAAACGTTGTGACAAATATGGCGACAAAGATGAGGACAATAGTCCGACTAATGTAAATACTGTACATAATACCTCATCTCAGAAATATAGACAAACTCTAGAGAAAAGATATGTATACATTTTTGAATATCAGAACAATTTTAGGAAAATCTATGATAAAGTGGAAAAAAATTTTATGTGAACTTCATTGGACTAAAGTGATGTTTACATTGATTTGACTGTGCATATATATGAATGAGATGGGGTGCTGAAATTTTAAATTTAATTTTTTTTTTGAATAATGGTTTGGATATTTAGTTTCTTTTTGTTCATGTTTTTCCCACTTTTGTTATTATGTATCCTACATTGTGACAATAGAAGATTTGACAAAAAAAAAGTGAAATGTTGTAAAAACATGGACATAAATGTACTGAGGATGATTTAGCCATTAAAACACTTTCTATCCATTTTGCCTTAGTCAATTGATTTCTCTTTTAATTAAAGTAGCATGTTTTAAAATTAAAATTATGGTCACCAACACACACACACACACACACACACACACACACACACACACACACATATATATATATATATATATATATATATATAAAATATACAGGGTGCGATGGATAAATTGTCATCTAATTTAGGCAAAAATGAAAATAACATATCTCATTATTACAGATATATTTACCAAAATTACACAAAAATATCTTGAAATACTAAAGAGTAAATTCATTCAATAAAATCACCATTGGCTTCAACCACAACCTCCAGACAACTTCAGAATCTCCTGCAACTCTTCTGGAGGGTCTCCTTGTTTAAGTTGGTGAATGCTGCCATAATCCTTGCTTTCAGTTCATCTTTGGTATTATAAGAAGCTTTGTTGGTCTCTTGCACAACTGCACCCCACACATAATAAAGGGGTTGCAGTCTGGAGAGTTAGGTGGCCAGATGTAAGTGGTGACATGGTCACAGAAATTGTCTGACAGCCATGACTGGGTATATATATATATATATATATATATATATATATATATATATATATATGTGTGTGTGTGTGTGTGTATACTGGCTTAAAAGCTGCCCTATCAGGCAGCATTTATGTTAATTCCTGCAGAGGGCTCTTGATTGGGTCTTCTCCTCCTTGTCTTCATAAATTTTACAGTTACTTATGTTAACATTATGAGAAGTTGCTGTAAAATCCTTGGCTTGACCCCCTTTCCAAAATCTGAAGAAATATTACAATTTTGATGGGAAGGGCTTTTTCGTTGGTCTATGAAATTTCCAGCAAAATACTTGCATTATCATTTTTCATTGTTATAGCTACAAGGGACAGGAAGTTGTGGAGGGCCAGGAACGCCTACGTCTTGAGGAGACATGGCACATAAGAAGTAGGGATATGGTAGTTATAAAATAGACAATATATCCTTTATAATAATTCAAATTATCATAGTAATCTTATATATATATATATATATATATATATATATATATATATATATATATATACATATATACTTTTCCCGTTCTTGATTTTCTTTGATTCTGTTGTTTTTATTTATTTAGTTACTTGTCTAGCTATTTCCCTTTATTTTATTCTTTGATGGAAACATATTAATTTGGTGAGTTAAATACCAAAACGAAAACAGCAAAAATATACAGAATTATTCTTCTGCTGATTTTGGCAGTTCTGGGTCAGCTAGTCAATACTTGGGTTTGAAGGAGAGAGAGCCTCATAGACGGGTTGGGGAAATAACTATTTACCCAGAAACCAACAGCTGTTCAGGGTTTTTCACATTTTAATTATGGCCAGGATAAGTAACAATCTTTACATTCCACACAATTAATAATTCATTTCTGAATGATTAATGAACATAAGGAAAAATTTGTCATCATGTCTAATCTATCATTATTAAAGCAGATATTTTAAACACCGGAAACAGGCAATACAAGCATTAATGTTAATGTTGAAGCCATCTATACTATCACTTTGTCACCCTTCCAGGCTTTTGATTCACTTCTTTCTCCTCCTTTTACCTCTCTTTTTTTTATCTATTTTTTCTTTTACTTTCTTCTTCATCAATTCATTCCATGCTTTTTCTTCATTCTTCTTTTGTTTCATTGTTTTTACTCATTTAATCATTTCTCTTTTTCTTCCTCAGAGGTTTCATTTTCATTTACTTTTTAATTCTTCTTTTTCTTCTTCCTCCTTTTTTCTTAAATGTCCTCTCTAGATCTTACTTTCTCTAGACTACCTTATTCATTTCTGATCTTCTCACATATGTACAAATCTCCTCCCATTCTCCTGCCTTTTTTTTTCCATCTCTTTATCTTTTCTTACCTTTTTTTTTTATCCCTATTTCCTCTTAATTCCATTCCAGCTCTATCCTTGTCTCTCTTTTTTTTCTCTTTTTTTACTTCTGTAGCTTTTCTTACTCTTACCATAACAAATTTTACTACTCTTCCTTCTCATCCTTTTTCTTTATTCTCTTTTTTAATGCCCACATTTGTTTTATTTTTTTCATCTAATTCCTTGCTGATATCGCCTTTTTCTCCTTATATTTCTTTTCCTTTTATAGATTAAACCAATGTTAAAACATCCTCTTCTTTACCTTCCTCATCTGTTTCCTTCTTTCTTTACTTTTTGCTTCTTTCTTTTTCCTTTTTCGCTTTTTCTGAGAATTTTCTTTCCCTTCTTTCTCTGTTTCTTTCTTCCCTTTCTGTGAATATCTATGTCTTCACCTTTCCCAATTTTCTTTTTCCTTTTCTTTCTTCATTTCCTTCTTCCCCTTTTAAGAACATTTTCTTTCCCTTCTTTCTCTGTTTCTTTCTTCCCTTTCTGTGAATATCTATGTCCTCACCTTTCCCAATTTTCTTTTTCCTTTTCTTTCTTCATTTCCTTCTTCCCCTTTTAAGAACATTTTCTTTCCCTTCTTTCTCTGTTTCTTTCTTCCCTTTCTGTGAATATCTATGTCCTCACCTTTCCCAATTTTCTTTTTCCTTTTCTTTCTTCATTTCCTTCTTCCCCTTTTAAGAACATTTTCTTTCCCTTCTTTCTCTGTTTCCTTCTTAGCTTTCTGAGAAATTTTTCTACCTCTTTTTTTCTCTGTAACATTCCATCTTCTTTTTTCCCCTTTCTGAGAACTTTTTGTTTCCTTTCCCTTTCTGAAAAAGTTTTCTTCCTCTTCTTTCTCTGTTGTCCCTCACTTCTGAGAACTTCTTTCCCTTCTTTGTTTCCTTCTTCTCCTTCAAAGAGCTTTCTTTCTCTCTTCTTTCACTTCTTTCCTTTTTCTCCTTTCTGAGAACTTCTTCTTAACCTGAATTTCAGAGATTTGTTTTTAATATTATCAATTTTTCTTTCATCTTATTTTTCAAGCTCACATTCTCTACCTTTGAAGTTCTTCTGGTATTCACAAAGAGTCACTTGTTCTGCTTTTAGTTTGTATAGTATTATTTCTTTATTTGCTTTTTGAGAGGAGTAATATTATTATTATATACACACACTTACCATACATCCTGAATGAGCCACAACTGTTCAGATTTGAGGATTCTATCTTGATATCCCACTAGAGATATTTTTGTGTCAGCCCTGATGTTTAAGGGTTTTGTAGGCAGGAAAACACTTTATTAAAGAAAATACCTAAGCCTATAATGAAAATTGAAAACTGTCTCTAATGGAGGAGAGAATATTATGGTAAACCTAATTATATATTATAATATTATTTATACTAACAGGTTGCATATTATAATATTATTATTACCAACACGGCAAGATACTACAAAAACAAAATATTAAACTGTGAACTCGTTAGGTTTTTAAATAGCTTCATCAGATCAAGACTCATGTGGATGTCAAGCATGGTGTTCTACTTTTTCAGAAATGTCTAAGCTATCAGCTGTATTTTCCAAGATCAATGATTAAAAATGCCTTACAATAAATGAACGCTGGAGGTCTTACAGGGAGACATTCTTTATTGAATCTCATCAACTGCTTCTCCAAAATCATGAAGAAATTTGCCAAATGACAAAAACCATATCACTTGAAAGATTTCAAAAGTAGTGACAACTAAATGGATAGCACAGGTAACTGAAGAAGACAATAATGGCATTATTGACATGTTCATTTTCCACACTACCTTAAACAAAAGGTTAGGAAGGAAACTACCACTGATACTGGAATGAGCAATAACAGCAGACTTTGGAAACCTATTTTCATCAAGAACTGTTTCAAGGAAATGATTTTATAAATTTCAACCAACAGTAATGCTAACTGTTCAGTCAATGAATGCTGAATATTTCTATATATTTACAGTAATAATGAACATTCAGGCCAATAGGTGAAAATAAATATACTTTTTAATGATTAAACAGAGAGCCTATTCAAATATGAGTATCCACTAGAAATAACATGTTATATATATATATATATATATATATATATATATATACACACACACATGTGCATATGCACATGTATGTATATGTGTGTGTGTGTGTGTGTGTGCATATATAATTTATTGAAAAGTATAGGCATTTTTTATCTATTATGATTAACCATCTTTTCTTTAAAATGCAAAATATCTTTCACAAAACTAGCTGCTATTTTTTCACCTTATCTTACTTAAGTACTTATTGTTTATAATGGTCATAAATTACCTACACATTCCTGATGATTACTCATGTAAGTCAAAAGCTAAAACACAAAAATTATATTGATTTTTTAAATTACTTACATCTGCAGCAGCCAGTTTTTCAAATAGTAATTTGCAATTTAGATATAAAATATTAACAAACAAAATGTCTATATTTTTCAATAAAACATTTTTATGAGAAAAATTGCTATCTAATTACACTGGCTTATGGCCACATCATATTGAAACACCGGTTCCCATATGATCCCTGAAGTTAAGGAACACCAAACCTGGACAGCACCTATATGGTGACTGCTTGGGAATACCAGGTGCTGTAACCTTGGATGTACAGGTGGTGCAATGGATAATGGCTTAGAATTGTTAATTGGAGAGCCGAGTTCCAATTCCATTTGGGTCAGTTATATTCACTTACACGCAAATAAACTTGGGTAAGGTATGAATCCACCTCTTCCCAACCCAGCTATGGATTAATTAGTAACCATTATTATCTAAAAAAATTCTGTACAAAATATTTAGATTTTGGCATTAAAGCATATCTACCACAGAGGTAGATATGCTTTGAAAAAAACCAACCAACCAATCTAATTATATATATATATATATATATATATATATATATATATATATATATATATATATATATATATATATATATATATATATATATATATATATATATATATATATATATATATATAACTATAGGTGCATGACTGAGTGGTTAGAATGTTCACTTTCTGACCATAAGACCTGGTTTCAAATCTCACCATGGTCGATTTGTCATGAAGGCAACTTCATGATGTTATCAGACTCAATTGGGATTGATCATAGCATGCAGCACCTTTGGAAAGTGCCAGAAAACATACTACAGGTTGACCCAAGCCTTTGAGTGAAATTGGGTAGAGTAAGTCTTGTGGGTCATCGATAGCTGTGCTATCATGAAGCCATGAGTCATCATGTCCAAGGGCTTGAGTGTGCTGGCCTTGTTCAAATTGTTGATAATGCTAGATAACACACTCTGTCCCAGAAATTGTAACTAAGGTCTGCTCAGCACAGTTGCAGTATAAACTACAGGTGGTTTCTGTGGGTGTTGAATGAACACAAAGTATGCCTGAGCAAGCTTTTGCAATAGGGACTGGCTAGCCATCATAGTCAATGGGTATCCACTAATATGAGTGGCTAGCTTACCAAATCAGTTGGGTTTTGATCTGGGCTTGATTCAATTGTCTAGTTGCACCGAGGAGCAAATACAAAAAGTGTGATATTTCATATATATATATATATATATATATATATATATATATATATATATACATGGGATGGCAATATATAAATTTTTATATATCAAGAACAGTTTGGGAGAAAAGATGTATGACAAAGGGGAAAAAGTTTTTGTGTCACGCCTTTTGTCCTTTAGGATTTCATCAGACTTATGAATTCAGCATAGGTTTGTTTATGTTGATGCGACTACACATGTGCACGACTAAGAAATGCTGGTAAATTTTTAATTTAAAAAAGTATATTAATTAAAAAAGATTATATATATATATATATATATATATGCATACATACAGACATATCAGCTGAATTTGACCAAAAGTTTTCTTTTTATGTAAACACTTGGTTAATCACCATGGAAAGTTTACATTTGAAGTCTGAGCATTAATTTATATTATTTTTTCATTTGAGAATTTTTTGAATTTGATGGATAGAATGGAAACTAGGTGCTATGGAAGACAATATTTTTTTCTGAAAGCCAAAATGCCTGAACTACTCAGAAATCGTTTGCACACATAAATATATGATATATATACATATATATATATATATATATATAGTGATAGAGAGAGAGATGAACAGTGTGGATACAGAGTTCTGCAGTGAATGGTGACACTATTTCATACTTAAACACGACCGTCATTATATTCAGGTATGAAATAGAAAATCTGGCATGGAGTCCCTAAGTGAAGAGTTTGGTTGTCAACAATGACAACCTTCCAGCAACTCCTGTAGACATGGTTTCCTTTGGATATTGTTGGTATGGCTAAGAGTTTAAGAGCAGCATATAGTATGGTCAGTGCACAGCCTACATATAACATTTCCTAGGCCTGCACTCTGGAGTAGTCAATCAAACAAGTCTCTCCAGCAAAGAAATGAATATTTTGACCAACCACAGCACAACATATATTCATGTTAGTATTATTCCCCTGGAGTTCACTGAGCATTCAGACTAGTACAAACTTAGTTAATTTATCTAGATTGAATACTAAAGAATAAAGATTAAGATACTAAAGAGGAACAAATTCACTGTAGTTCCAATTTCTAAATTAAAACTCAATATGAACAGACAAACGAGACACAAGTAAATTAAAGCAGCCTTCTCGATTTAAATTATTTATATTATCCATAGAGAAAGAAATGAAAATATGGAATATATTTTCAAATGATTAATACCGAAAGACATTTATTCAAATGGTTGATATTTCTGCTTTTGATTCATGCTGTGTGTTTTTTTTTTTATTTTACACTATCCAAAATATTAGTTAGCAATTAAATATGTATGAAAACACATACACATGTGTGTGTGGGTGTGTGTATACATAGAATGTATGTGTATGTATGTACGTGT